CATATATTTAATACAAATAATTCGGCTCCTTCAGAATCTTCTATATTTCTGAGATGAAATATTATGTACATTATTTTACATTATCTGGACTATTGTCTGAATCTTTGTCGCAATATCAGTTGTTTTTTTTAAAAATTCAATATCTGTCTTATTTCTGATACTAGGCTCTTATGTACATTAAAAATAATTATTCGACTATTGTCCTCATCTTTGTTTTTTTATTTCTTTAAAATTCTCAAAAAATTTGTCTATATTTTTGAGATGAGGTTTATATAAATTTTTTTAAGAATTTTTTATAAAATTCATTTGATATTGATTTTCTTCATTTTATTTTTTGAAATTTCTTTATTTATTAAAAATTTTTTGTCTGGCTTTTTAATTTTGTATAAATATTTACTAATAAATGAAAATCTGTCTTACTTTGAGGTAAATTTCCTCCTCAAATGTCTGAGTTAAATTTTTGAATTAATATTTTTGTTTTTTTTTGTTTTTTAAAAAAAAAATAAATCATTTTCCAATTATTTTTTTAAATATTTTTGTCAAAAAAAAAATTTTTTATTGTTTTTTTTTTTTTTTTTTAATTATTAAATGATTTTTCTAATAAAACTGATATTGGTATTAATATCAATATTATAAAATGCATTTGGAATCCTTTTCGCCTAATTATATTGTCAATTTTTCACTTTATATTTTTTTTCAAAAAATAGACGGATTTAATTTTATTAACATTCTTTTTATATTTTCTTCATTAAATTTAACCTTATTTATTTTAAACTCCTTAATTTGGACTTGTTATTGTAAGACATATTTTATATCTATATTAAACAAATCATTGTTGTCATCAAAAACCCTTTTTTTAATTTTTATCTTGCATAAAAATTTTTAAACATTTTTTTAAATTTATGACAATCAAATAAATTCTTATTTATATTCTATTTACATGTTTTTGTTATATTTTTTAAATTTTATATTCATTTTCTTTATTTATACTATATTTTGTTGATTTTATTTTGTAAAATATTTATTATTCGGATATTGTCATTCATATTTGTCGCTTTTTATTATTTGTTTCGGGCCGTTTTGGTATCTGTATTTCTGAGATGAAAGGGTATGTACATAATTAAATGATTTTGAACTTGTTTTAATATTCATATATATATATATATATATATATAATATATTTATATATATATTTTTATAATTCTGTATATATATATATATATATAGACATTATTATATAATATATATTGTAAATATTTACTTATATATATAAAAAAAATATGTTGAATGATTTTTTTATATATATATATATATAATATATATATGCATATATTTAATAAAAAAAATAAATATTGTCGATTTGTAAATTAAAGTAATTAATGAATTTAAATTATTTATATCTATTTATAAAAGGTTTTTGTTATATTATTTCTAAATAAAAAATTTTAAAATTTTCATATCAAAAATAAAATATAATTTTTCATTTAAAATTAAATATATTCAAATAATTAATGAGTTAAATTTTATTATTAAATTGAAAATTATAAAGAGAATTTTAATTTAAAATCTGAAATTTGTTTAAAAATTATTGAAATTAAAAGAAGAAACTGAGGAAAAACATGATTTTTTGTTGTTTGTTTTTTCTTGAAAGGCCAAAATTCCCAACACAGTTATTTTAAAATTAATTTTTGCTCATAGATTTAAAAAAACATAAGTCTTTGATCAAAAATATTTATGGGATTTTATGTATGAATCATTTTTTTCTTAAAATATTTAACATTATATATATTAAAAAAACATATTCATTTATATATGTAATAATAAAATTATAAAAAAAGTTTAATAAAATTAAAATTTTTACATAAATGAAATTGTTTTGGACCTTTATAATGAATCTATATTTTTGTAATTTATATAAACTTCCAAAAATTATTTTGGCATGATAGTATTTCAATTTTTCTAAAAAATATTCAAATGTTAAAAATTTTAAAAAATTGTAAACATTTTAAATTAATATAATTAAAGATAAAAGTTTTTTGATTTACCAAAAAAAAAATTGAAAAAATTAAACATTTTGTTTTTTTTAACATTTTATAAAAATATTTATTTTGAAAATAAATATTAATAATAAAAATAATATTCGAATTTTTAAAACATTTTAAAACACAAAATGACAAAACAAACATATATATATATATATATAAAAATTAAATTTATAAACGAAAATCAGATAATAATACATGATAAATCAATAAACAAATTGATAAAAAATAATTTTATATTTAAAAAATATTTTTTAAAATAAAAATGAAAATTTTAACAAATAAATAAATTATTTTTTTTTTGCATACTAAAAAAAAAGTACAAAGAATGGGAAAAAAAATTTTTTTATAAAGTCAAAAAAAAAAAAAATATTTTCTTTTGAGGCAAACCAAAATAAAAATAAAATCACTTTGAATTTTGAATAAAATATATTTAAAATCATCAATTTTTAAATAATTCAATTTTGATAAATATATAATTTCCCATTTAAAAAAAATATAAAAAATAAGCATTAAAATATTTTTCAAATTAATAAAAAAAACAACATAATGTAATGAAAATCCAAAATACAATTTGAAAAAAAAAATGATATAAACAAAATAGATATACAAAACAAACACATATAATAAAACATAACAATCCAAATAGACATAATAGTTACAAACCAAACCAATTTTTTTTATAAACATGAAAATAAATTTCTATTTTATGAATGGATTTTAACTCATTTTATTATTTAAAAAAAATAAATAAATTTCACAAAAAATTTAAAAATATTTAAACAAAACAAATTATTTTTAAATTTTTAAAACAATAAAATTGCAAAAACATTTGAAGCTGATAAGGCGGTAAAACAAAATAAAAATAGATAATGTTTCATTCAATCTTTTGGGTGATTTCATCAATATCTTTCAATTTCATTAATAAAATAAAAGTAATTGTTTTAAAATCATTGTCAGAAAAGGAATGTTTATGATTATCAAACTTCTAAAAAATTTTAATATGGTTGCCTTTTCAAAAATTTTTATTCAAAATTTAAAGATTGATTTTGATTTGGTAAAAAACATTTTAATATTTGAATAATGTTTCCGGGCAGTTGGTTTTTAAAATACAAAAACCAAGAGAAATTGTTAAATTATTGGTTGTTGTTATTTTAATTTTAATATATATCCCAATAAGGTAATAAAGCGACTAAGACGAAAATCAAGAATGAAATAAAATATAGAAAAACTTTATTTTAGAAAAAAAAATAAAAGAACAAGAATTAAAAAAAACAGAAGATAAATATTGATATTGCATTTATTTTTGAAGATCAAAGCTGAAAGAATGGGAAGCTAGAAAAGAGTTCCACAAGCGAGAAGTGCGATAGAAGAAACTGTTAGAATAGAACTTACGGTTACATCTAGCCATTTCAACTGTAAATGATGAGACCTAGCTGCCAATCTAGTACTGCGCTTGAATTCATAAATTCTAGGAACCAAAGGTTAAAGCTCAAAAAAAAAGAAGAATTATTAAAAAATATTTAAAGAAAGGTCACAGGGAAGCTACTTTATTGCAATGGGAAAGTGACTGAAGCTGAGATGCCAGGTCAGAATCAATAACACTGCAGATTCTTCTTTGTATTTAATCATGACTGTCTGAATACATAGCAAAAGCACGAAACCAGATGTGACAGCAATATTCATTGCCTGGACGACTAGTAGAGGTATAAAGGCGTAATATAAATTCTGGCGAGAAAAAGTAGGAGACAGTGAACCGATTTTTATAAAAGCAGACCGAGCAGTTGATTCAATGCAATCTTTCCACTTCATGCCAGCGGAAAACGTTAGACCGAGAAGGCTGAATGTGTCACTTGGAGGTTAGCATCAGCTATACTGATGGGAGATCAGAATGGTTCTCCCAGACGATTCAAAGAGAGCAGTTTCGTTTTGAAGACGTTAAAATTAACAAGCCATTTCTTGCTCCAGTTAACAACACATAGTAGGTGATTTTTTTTTTTAGCCCAGTTGTCAATTTGGTTTTAACGAACCGATCAGACTTAACATTAGAAGAGAAGACCGCCAGTTTTATGCGTGAATATATTTAAAGGAAAATGTGTGTGAATATTTTGTGTGAGAGAAGAGAGAGTGTGTGAGAAAGAGAGAGAGAGAGAGAGAGAGAGAGACCAGATCCAGTTTGTGTGAAAACGCAAAGTAATATAGTAATATTTATTTCATTTAAATATTAATAAAAAACATGTGCAAGGAAGAAAAGAAATTGCTTGCAACGGGATATTGGATGTACAGATGTACAAAAAATTGTTATCTAAATAAAGTTATATTTCATCGCAAATCAAGCAGGAATCAGGTTCACTATTCACCGCTTTGGCTTTTAGGTATAGTCTCATATGTCGTTTGACGAAAAGTAGACATTTTTTTTTGGTGTGTGTGTGTGTGTGGGGGGGTGCTTTGCCAAAATTTCTAAAGATACCTATCTCTAATAGATAAATACGTATTAAGAATATCAGTCTCTTGTTTATTTTCGAGGAGAAGAAGACGGTTAGGGATGATTGGAAAAAAAAAAGTAATTTACAAAAAAAAAAAAACAAACAAAGAACAAAAAAGGAAAAGTCATTCCTGTTATATTTCCTCTTTTTAAATTGGAATTTTTTTTATCCCTTGATATTTTTTCCTCATATCTGATGCTGTTTCTTCTTAAGCTATGTAACATCTAATTTGTTACCTAGCAAATGCAATCTAAGAGAATGTGAAAAAAAATAACATCGCTCAAAACAGGCTTATCTCGATTTGAATTGATATCAGGGCAAATAAAGTGATACATACAATAGCTTAAGACATGAACATAAACTTATATATATATATATATATATATATATATATATATATATATATATATATATATATATATATGAATGACGTATTTTAAGTATCTTCGATACATTAATGACATACAAGTACATGCAGAAGCGAAAGGACAGTGAATCGAATTGCTTACATATCCACGGAATAAAACATCTAAATACGCAAATCTTTCTCTCTCTTTATCTATCTATCTATCTATCTATCTATCTATCTATCTATCTATCTATCTATCTATCTATCTATCTATCCATCTGTCTCTCTCTCTCTCTATATATATATATATATATATATATATATATATATATATATATATATATATTGAAATGATACATATGACACACTCATATCCTCTCCCCACCTCACTTCCTCACTTCGTTAATTTTACGTATACTTGATGAGGTCCGTCAAAAACGTGTGAATTTTTTTCATTTTCATTTCAGCTTTTGGAAGTAAAGTCTGATGATCCAGAACCCTGTTAAAGGGGTTATGGTGAAATAACAATTACATGGAATCTTAACGTGGTCTGTCTTTTATTCAAACATCAAATATATATATATATATATATATATATATATATATATATATATATATATATATATATATATATATATATAAACTATGTTATCATATAGTTCAAAGCAACATTTGATCTTAACGTTTATTCCAACTTAATTTCAATAAAAAAAAAAATAGAATAACATGTATTTTTTCTTTTTTTATTTCAGTAAATTTATAATATTAAACTTAACATAGATTAAATTTAAATCTTAAAATGGATAATTTTTAATTTCAAATTTTATCGTATAATTTAATATTTATTAGAATAAATTCTATTTTAGTCTAACCCCAACATTAAATAATTATTATAACCTTATTTCTTTGTCAAGTTTTTTGAATTCTCGTATACTTGTATTTTGATTGTTCATTCCAGCTTTCCCTTATCGAGGTGTGTTTGATTGATTTGAACCTTTTAAAAACTCTTTATTCTACATTCAACATCATCACTTGATAAGACACCAGATTGCTTGAAATAAAATGGCTATTTTTGTAGTGATTTTATAACATATTTATGTTATAATTTTCGAATATATATATATATATATTTCTCTTTCACTATATCTGTAAACATATATATATATATATATATATATACAATTTAATATATTTTTCGTTTATACGTTATTTTTATAGACACAAATATTTATGCAAATGCTCTGTTTATAATAATCAGTATTAAGAACATTTACCGGCCTGAATATCGGAGAAACCTCAAAGAAAATATGAGTCCCCACGACAGAAATCGAACCTGTATCCTAAACGAAACCATCATATAGCCTGGCGTGCTAGACCATTTACCGACAGAGAAAGAGAATGGCTAACATGATTAATATAAAAAAAAAATTATTAAAATAATTGTCGGACTTAGTGCATTATATATATATTAGCAGCATGGCCCGGCGTTGCCCGTGCTTGATTCAAAAATCGTACGACTCATACAGCAATCGCTATCACTTGATTTAAAAATTTTTTTTCTTTTTTATTACCTTTTTAAAGGTGTGCCTTTCCATTGCTGATGTTCTACATGAATACAAAACGATCAGCTTTAAAAAAGGACTCGTAACAAGAAAAACCGAATGAAAAAAAGAATGTTAATAACAAATACTTTTTCACACCCAACCCAGTTCTGCGGAATCAGAATCAACGTTGAGTTTAAGCAAGCGAATGAGCCAATTGGAGTAAAGTGCCATGCCGATTTAAATTTTACTCACTTGTAACGAATGCAGCTATCGATTTTTTTTTGCATGTTAGTATGTTAGTTAACATTCGTCTCAGTCAGCTGTTGGCTCTCACACTGGCCAATAGAATCTTCCTGCCTATTCGTGGCAGCCAGCTATAGACTCTCACTCTGGCCAGTAGAAAATGGCCGCAAAGTACATAAAAACGGCCGAGGTAGCATGAAAAAATCGATTATTTCCACTATCGATGGGAGTTGGGAAATGCAAAGTCAGTCTTGGCCTTCCCGCTAACTTGGAGCATGTGCATGTAAATTTTGGTACAAATCCGTCGAAAATTGCGGCCGTGCATTCGTTACTCACACACACACACAGACACACACACACTTTTATATATATATATATATATATATATATATATAGTATAAATCCTAACGAGCCAGGTAAACCTACCTAGGTTTCATCTAAACGGATCTTCAGTGTAGTCTAACGTTTAGGTAGGTTTTCCTGGCTCGTTAGGATTTATTCTATTTACCGCTTTACTTAGCCTATTGAGCCATCTAAGTTGTTCTTATACTCGCTTGGGTTTTTTTTCTTTGGACTAATGACTTAAGACATTTGACAATTTTTCTCGCCTTGTTGTGATGTTTTTAGTTCTTTCTTTTTTTACTTCCTATTTTTACCTCGGGTACCAATTTGCCCTCCGGTGTCTACAAGTTGAGTCATCCGAGGTTTTTCAAGCGAGAAATTCTGTTAATATATATATATATATATATATATGATAAAAACTATACATAATATTGACTGCAATCGATATAAGATATTATGTATATTTCTTAATACAGTGTAACCCGGATATACTAGAGTTGTCGGGACCGGAGAAGAAGTCTCTTATATCCGGGTTTCTTTTATACCCGGGTTTGGTCTAATTTATATACATTAACACAGGCTCTAATTTGGGACCAAAGAAAATCTCTCTTATATCCGGGTTTCTCTTATATCCGGGTCTCTTATATCCGGGTTTCTCTTATATCCGGGTTTCTCTTATATCCGGGTCTCTTATATCCGGGTTACACTGTATAAGCTCAATTCAAAGGAGCTCAACTGGATTTCCCGGGGGTATACATATTGTCATCCACAGACAGACTGTTTCGCTGTATCACAGCTCTTCAGTGTGGCTAGACGTAAAACAACACATTAACTGCATTGTTTGATCACCGTAACGAGATTAAACACAATTCTGTTTTATAAAATGCTGCTCTAATTAAAAGAGAAATCAATTTACTAAGACGAACATATATAGAAAGTGCTTTAATTGCTATAAATATGTGACCAGGTTCTTACAACGCTTAACCATTCTTGGCAGATCGACTATTAACAATGTGGAATCATAAACAAAAAGAATCTAAAAGAAATTGGCTAGAAAATTGTCACGTCCCCATTCCTTCAGGATCATGTGTAGTCACATCAACGCAAGCATCAATTTATTCCGATGAAGCCCTAAAGCCGTCACACGAACAATTGCTGTATAGCCCCTTCGCTCTGGGGGTAGTCTTGGCTTGATCACAATAAAGTTGTCTTCTTATCTTTCTTCTCTCGGCCGCGTGATCTCTAGCTGGTTTGTTCGGAGTTAAGAACTTCGACAAAAAATAACATTTTTAGCTAGCCAGTAGGGTCGCTCTATCAGCGCCATTGGGCAGCAAGTTCCCCGCACACATCTGATCTCTTCGTAAAAACTTACTCCACAAAAACACTTTCCATCCCTCTAACCTCCCCACGCTAGTTTTAACCAATCAAAAAGGACTTCCTTTGTTTTGTCTACCATCTGACCTTAAGGTCAAAATGAGGAAGTCATTCTAAAAATACAATTTTTTAAAAATAATAGTCTGCTAGACTATTAGTTAACACACTCCACATTGTCCATATATATCATATATATATATATATATATATATATATATATATATATATATATATATAAAAAATATGTTGTAGTGGTTCCAACGAGAGAAAAAGTATATATTAAAAAAAGAGAAGAGAGGTGCAGCAAACGTTTTTTGTTGTAATGTGGATTTATTTAAAAAAAAAAAAATTTTATATATGATATTCATCAAATACAAGGCTCAAGGGCTACAAAGGTATGGGGTTACTGAGTGGAGTTGTATTAATGTAAGGGAAAGAATTGAAATTCTCGGTGCTATGCTGGAAAGATAACAGACTTGAAGAGATTTGAAGACTTGAAGAGGTCAGGATTTAATTAGTGAATGAAAGTATGGATAGAAGTATAGAGTTGAAGTAGACTTTAGAAGGAACCGAAAACCCACTACTAACAGGAAACAAGGGACAAACCTCTACTCCTGTTCGAAAAACTGGAGAGGAGTGTGAACCGGATTATAGGTAACCCTATTTACTCCTATATATATATATATATATATATATATATATTTCTACATTCAACACCAGAAGTGTTGAAACAAAATAGCTATTTTTGTAGTGATTTTATAACATATTTATGTTATAATTTTCGAATGAATAATTATATTTACACTACTCTGTATTGAGCACTCTTTTAAGAATAGTATTTGTTGGTTATTGGAATTTATTCCATATACACCAATCAAAACATGTATATATATATATATATATATATATATATATATATATATATATATATATATATATATATATATATATATATATATATATATATATAGGGGTTGTGTGCTTGTATGTGTATGAATGTATGTATTCAGACATTTCAAATGGAAAAATTTTTTTATTGACAACGCGTTTCGTTTTCGTTAAGTAGGGTCTTCATATCAGATTTGTCTTTTATTCTGACCTCAAGACGGCAACTGAACTTCACCCAACCGAGACGCTTTGTCCATAAAGAAATTTTCCACTTTAATCTGATTTAGCCACTTCAGTTCGGATTATATTTCGTATAAACAAACTATATATACATATATATATATTCCAACAGCCCCCATATATATATATATATATATATATATATATATATATATATATATATATATATATATATATATATATATATATATATATCCATATCACGTGACGTCCGCGTCTCGCGAAGGACGCTACTTGCTAACAAACAGTAATTTTAATTTATTTGTAACAAACAGTTATTTCTGATGAAAAATTGAGGACAATTTGAAATATCAAATATATATATAAATAAATAAATACTTTCATAAAATAAAACATTATAATTTTTAATTTGAAACTTTTTCTATATATATATATATATATATATATATATATATATATATATATTATATAATATTTTGCACTGAATCAATGGCAGAGCAAGGATAATGTAGAATGGTAAAGGTTCAAAAGTACATAATGTTTTTAATCCACCATTATTGCTTATTTGTATTTACAAGCCCTGTCTAAATCTCTTAAAATCTATCGATCAAGGTGTGTTTATATCTATCTATTTATCTATGAAGATCTATTCATATCTATCTATGGAGGTTTATTCATGTATATCTGTCGAATATTGTCTATTCATATCTATCTATCTATCTATCTATCTATCTATCTATCTATCTATCTATCTATCTATCTATCTATCTATGAGGGTTTATTCATTATCTATCTATCATTCTAATAATGTCTATTCATATCTATCTATGAAGGTTTATTCATGTATATCTATCGAATATTGTCTCTATCTATCTATCTATCTATCTATCTATCTATCTATATATATATATATATATAAAGGTGTATTCATGTCTCTATAAAGGTGTATTCATATCTATTTATATATCTATCTATCTTTGAAGGTATATTCATATCTATCTATCTATCTATCTATCTATCTATCTATCTATCTATGAGGGTTTATTCATTATCTATCTATCTATCTATCTATCATTCTAATAATGTCGATTCATATCTATCTATGAAGGTTTATTCATGTATATCTATCGAATATTGTCTATACATATCTATCTATCTATATATAAAGGTGTATTCATGTCTCTATAAAGGTGTATTCATATCTATATATCTATATATCTTTGAAGGTATATTCATATCTATCTATCTATCTATCTATCTATCTATCTATCTATCTATCTAATCTAAAAAAGCCTTCACCACCCATGATTCAGAATATGTCATCGGACTCTACATAATAGAACAACCTAAACATATGTAACGGCAAGTGATACCTTATAACTTATTCTATTGTAGCTTTAAACGTTTGCAAATTATTTAATAATCGCTGTTTGCACGTCTTTCTTTCCCCTCAAAAATCAAAAAAAAAAAAAAAGAAAAGAAAAAAAGAAAAGAAAAAAAGAAAAAAAAACAGTTTGTATCTAAAACGAAACATAAGTACGGAAAATTCGTTTTATGTGCAACTCTTCTTGATGAGATTGATGATAACGTGTCGTCGTCGGGGACCACTTTCGTATAGCGAATTATTTTTATTTATTTATTTGAAGCGGGGTGCAATTGATGAACTTTCAGGCGAGCTTTATTATAGAAGGCTTACAAGGGAGCGGGTGGGGCTGTTTTCAGTTGTGGTGGAGGCTGCATGTTGAAAAGAAAAAAAAACAACAACAAAAAAAATGAGCATCGGGTTTAGTTGTTGGAGATGTTTCACGAGAGATAACGGAGAAATTGATTTGAAGACCTTGGCGAATGGTTTTCGGTGCCGGGGGTGTGGGTGGGTAGGTGGTGAAGAGGATGTGAGAATGGTTGGGTGGGGGCGGAACGAAAGAGGAGGTGGATATAGTGAAGCAGTTAGAGAAATATTGAAAAAAAAAAAGAAAAGTTCTCAGGAAACGGTTACTGATGAAATACGAGAAAAGAGAGAAAAATCGGTAACATACATTATTAAGATTTGAATTGACTCGAAGTTATACTGTGTCAAGCCTGACGGTTTCATAATTTATTTTAACACACACACACAAATATATACATAAATATATATTTATTTATTGTGCATTGTTACATTAGAACATGTACACATCCACTACAAAACTGTACATCTTGTTTCAACGTTAAAAATTAACGTTTTCTTCAATAGAAGAATAAATATATATGGTACTATGTTTTAAACTATCGGGATTCCCATATGAAGAAACGTTAATATTTAACGTTGAAACAAGATGTACAGTTTTGTAAAAGGGTATAAACATGTTTTAATGTAACACTAATATAATAAATAAAAATTTACGGCTCTAAGATTTGTATTGAGCCCCGTTTTAAATTAATGTCTTGAATGCTGAAATTTTACTTAAATTCTTTTATATTTGGATAAACACAAAGAAAAACACACATATACATATATATATATATATATATATATATATATATATATATATATATATATATATATATATATATAACATTATGTATATATATATATAAATAAAAGAAAAGAGGTTGTAGTGGTTCCAACAAGAAAAAGTATGTATATAAAAAAGAAGAGGAGAGAGGTGCCGCAAACGTTTTTTTGGTTGTAATGTGGATTTAAAAAAAAAATTATGTATTTATTTTCCATAATATATATATATATATATATATATATATATATATGTATATATATATATATATATATATATATATATATATATATATTTAATCGGTGTCACTCAAGCAAGGCAATAAAGCCACTAACGCGCAAGTGGTTACAGGGAATTAAGAACAGAAACATTAGTAATGGTGATTTTCTAAGCGAAGCTTAGATGCGGCACAAGGCTGAATGTATGGGACACTCAGTTAAACTCAAACACACTACTCAGGCGTAATTGTTCTAGCGAAACTAGCTTGTTAACCATTACACCACGCCGAGGTGACCCAGAAACATTAGTAATGAGCAGAAAGAGAAAAGAGTAATCAAGAAGACAGTAGATAGCGTTTGACACTGCATTTAAATTTTTAACATAATGACAATTACAGTACAATATATTAATAATAAGTTGTGGTGCGATTTTCGCTTCCAGCGTCTCGTATGCACGAGTTTGTCGGTGCTTGGAAATCTTTCACGTAAACCGAAACAGACTACCATCACTGTTTTGTCCGGGTATTGCTTAATATATTGTAATGTAATTGTCATCTTTGATAATGTTTATGAAAGCCGAAAGCTTAGATTGGATTAAAAAATATGTATCAATATTGTGATTTTCTTTCTTCGTTTAATGATAATGTTATTAAGCTTATCAGACGATATGAAAAGAATTTACATAAAATAAATAGACAACACTTCTCTATATTGTTTAATGAAACATGCATCAATGAAAAAATGATGCCTAAATACACGCAATATATATATATATATATAAATATAGATAACTAGACTCGTTTCGAAAAACCCTCGAATTTTTGATTTGTTAATCAAATCAATTTCGAGGGAAAAAAGGTTTTAAAAAGGTGTATCTATATATATATGTATATATATATATAGTTGGTTTTGCAGCAATCCGTCTTTAATATATGTTTTTGAAAGGAAATTGACAATATATTTTTGTTTAGGTTTTTAATAAGTAGAATTTTTTGCAACACGCTGTTAAAATCCTCACAATATTTAGTTTTGTTTAATTATTTCTAACATTTTTATCGAGATTTACAAATTCTTTTCGCAAACTAATCGATGAAATTAGAATAAGCTGATTTGTTTGGAAAAATACTTTGAAAAACCCTTCTTCACGGTTTAATAATTTCTTTAATTTAATTTAATTTTATGAAACTTCTTGGTAAACAATATATTTAAAAAAAAATTTTTTTTCCATTTTCCTTTTCTACAGCGAAGATTAAATTCTTAGGATTTCTTACTCTTGAGCATGCAACATACAACCTGCCACGTATAGATATTTCTTTCTGGAGCTAAATTCCAACTTTTTGTAGTGTTTGGTCTTGTGATTTCTTTATAGTTCTCGTAGACGCAAGGCGAACTGGGAAATGGGTTGTTGTATGAATAAAAACTTAATGAAAAGAAAAAAAAAATACGCAAAAAACCATATTGCATTTTTATTAAATAAGTACTTGTTATTTTAATCTTTAAATTGTTTTTTTAAGATAGCGGGGATATTTTGTATGTTAAATAATAAAAAAATTAATTTTTCAAAAAAAAAATAATAATGAAGATTTATTTCACTAAACTACGCACCCTAGTAAAATCAACTATTCTTTGTATCCGCTTCACTGTTTGCACTTATCCACAAAATTTAGTTTCGATCGGTCACTGTGTGGTTATTTTAGATGGTGTGAAAGACGGACGGATTAACAGAAGTCACAGAATTTTATATATAGATGCTTTTTCTTGTATAGTATAAGTGAACACTTTTCTGGATTTATGAGTGTTAAAATTCTACAATGGTTTCGTGGCTGCGAGCCTTTTCGGCTAAGTTATCACCCCTTTTCAGGGATTTCTTTTATACTGCTATAATAAATGGTATATATGTGCTATTGTAGACGGTATATATGTTGCTGAATATAGATCTATTCTTAATTTCCGAAAAACGGTCATTACACTGCTCATGATTGATGTAATTAATGGCTGCTTTCTTGTTTTTTTTTTTTTTTTTTTTTTGTAATAGGAGCTGTTGTTATTATAAAAAATGATAAAAGTTCTTATTATAAAAAAAAGTAAGTATATTAATTACATTATTCGGACTATTGTCCTCAACTTTGTCGCCATATTTATTACAACGTTTCGGCCGTGGTACGCTCCGGTCTTCTTCAGGTGGTTGGAATGTCGAACTGAATCCTTTATTTCGCTCACTGGTGTAGACTATTCTAGTTTCACGTGCCATGTTAATGGATGTCAGTTATCAGTTATTTCCTGTTAATTTCCCTCTGAAAGTTCTCCACTGATTCCATCCACCTGAAGAAGGCCGGAGAGAGACAGAGATGAAGACAATAGTCCGAATAATGTAAATAGTGTACATAATAACTCATCCCAGAAATATAGACAGATACTGAAAGCCCGAAACGTTGTAATAAATATGGCAACAAAGATGAGGACAATAGTCCGAATAATGTAAATAATGTACATAATACCTCATCTCAGAAATATAGACAGATACTGAAAGTCCGAAACTTTGTAATAAATATGGCAACAAAGATGAGAACAATAGTCCGAATAATGTAAATAGTGTATATAATACCTCATCTCAGAAATATAGACAGACACTGAAAGGCCGAAACGTTGTAATAAATATGGCGACAAAAAATGTATTCAATAGTCCGAATAATGTAAATAGTGTACATAATACCTCATCTCAAATAAATATACTGAAGAAAACGTTGTAATAAATACTGAAAAGGAGGATAATAGTCCGAATAATGTAAATAGTGTAATAAATATCTCAGAAATTTAGACAGACAAAAGATGAGGACAAAAATGTCGACAAAAATCAATAGTCAAATATAAATATTTACATAATACCTCATCTCAGAAATATCAACAGATTCTGAAGGGCCGACACTTTGTATTAAATATGGCGACAAAGATGAGGACAATAGTCCGAATAATATAAATAGTTTACATAATACCTCATCTCAGAAATATAGACAGATTCTGAAGGGCCGAAACATTGTAATAAATATGGCGACAAAGATGAGGACAATAGTCCGAATAATATAAATAGTTTTACATAATAAAATCTCAGAAATATAGACAGATACAAAAAAATTTTCTTTGTTATAAATATCCATCGATAAAGATGAACAATAGTCCGAATAATATTCATAGTGTTCATAATTTTCATTTTAGAAATATAAAAAAATTATGAACACATTTTGGAAAAAAAAATATTGGCCAAATTTCCAGCAATATTCTATTTTCAGAATATTTAGATTTTCTTTAACAGTATAAATAAAATCCTTATTAGATTAGAATTAAATAATTTTTTGTTAGTTTCTACATTTATTAAGTACAGTAAAAAAAAAAAAGGATTACCATACAATAAAAACATAATAAAATACAATAGTATTTAATATGCCCGAAAAAAAAATATCGGTGTGTCAAAAGTAGGATTGTTCCTTTGACACCCGCTATCATTGTATACACGTTTGACCTCCGTGGACAGTTTTATTGTTTTAAAAAGCGATGATTATAATTTTAATAAAACC